CCTATTACTGCGATAAACGGTATAATTATCGGAGAAGATTTCCGAACTGGAGACATCAGAATGCAGCCAAGTCTCAGTAAATCCGACAATGTCCAGAAAGGTAGTATTAAATATTTCATGAGTTTTCGCATTTATTCCGTTAAATTTAGTATAGTATCAGAAATTGAAATTGGGTGTTTTATTTAGTTTAAATTCACAATCTTTGACATGCTTCATATGTATTTGATTCCCAACCCATCCTCACTATTTGCTTTTCTCTCCTCTAGCTGCGACTTCAGTATCTGCCGTGGTGTCTTCTCCGATAAGATCGAAACAGTATGATAATCTGGTGAGTTCTTCAGTATTTTTAGAGGCTTTTAAGACACTAACTGCACTTATCTGATTTTGACAATTCACTTTTAACAGACGCGGCCTCCCGCTACCCCAATTAAATTGTATGATAGAATCAGTCGACACCTCGAGAGTTGAGTATTTCCTTCAATGTCCTTCACTTTAAGCAGATACTTTTCAGACCTTTGCTCAGGTGATAAATTATCACCTGACTCGTTCAAACCAAACATATTGCCTGTGATATGCTCAGAAATGTTATTGTCCACATTTGGTCTGGCCAATTTTAGTTCCGACTTAAGAACCATAACCTCAGTCTGCTCACCTATGACCTATGACCAATTTTTAAAGAAGTGAAGCGTTGTAAACGTAACAAGACAAATACCAGAAGACACCAGAAAAAATAAGGAAAAGGAAAGAAACCAGAGGTACTTAGAAAAGAGGAGAAGAGAAAAATGGTTTGTTTTTAAAAAACTCTTTTAGCATTTACAAATCTTCTTTATTCCTCCTGCGACGGTTGTTTATAAATCAAACTTGCTGACGTTTCGCCAGTCATCCTGTTGGCTTCCTCGGGGCTTAACTGAAACTGAAAGTTCTGAAGAAGCTAACTGGATGATTGACGAAACGTCAGCAAGTTTCATTTATAAACAAAAGACGCAGGACGAATCCAGAAGATTTGTAAATAGCATTTGAATTTCTTTAAATAATTAACTAACAGTTCAAGAGTGAAATGTGCATAAAGGCATAATGTGGTAATTTGTTACAGTTTTGGGGCCACCATCAGGAATAATTAGTCTGAAGTAGGTCGTTTCTGCAAAGTAAAGATTTAAAAAAAAATATACAACTATTGACTACTTCAAAAACTTAGATGTAAAATTTTCTGAGTCAAATCCTAAACAATCCACGGTCAGCTGGTAAAATAAAATAAATTCGAAATAGGTACCCTACCTAAAGCCAGAAAATCAACCAGATTATCCAGAAGATCGGAGAATGCACAAACTGACACTAATTCTATTATTATTTTGCGTTATATACTAAATTATAAAGTGTTTACTAAGTTACTTTAAGCGTGCAATAATATTGGCACTTGGACCGTTTTGACTTTAAGCCCCTAAAATAAAAAAATATTGTAAATCTTTTTATATTTTGTTCATTATAACTTGAAACTTATGTCATAATATATAATAAATACGTTTTTTCAGAAATAAATTTGTTTTCATTTATATAGTACAAGATATTATTAGTAACTCAAGTTTTGTGATTTAGCACTTGTTGCCGACAAATATTTATGTTAAGAACGGCCGTACCATATGTTAGTTGTTCATGAATATATGGTGCACTTTGTAATTTAATTATCTTATAAAAAACACACACTGGATATAAAACAAAAAGAAACATGCAATATATTTTTATTTCCGTAATATTGTATTGTTTTATCTATTTTCGTTACTAAGAAAGACATTATTTTTCCGCAATACATGGAGGGCGATACCTGACTAATGGTTGGTTTTTGAGCCAATCTTAATATAACAAACTAGCTTTTCTTTTAAACACGGACCACCAGATTTTCGCATTTGTTTTGAAATGTACATGCTGATTTTTTTAATAGTTTAAGACCCTTAATGTAATGTTTACGGGGATCTATTTAATCATCATCAATATCAATAATATAAAATTAACATTCGACAGCAAAAACTGCTTAAACAATGCATCTCTATATTGTTCACAAATGGTGGAAGCTCGATGAGGTTTATTTACTACAGTTAAGGGCTGAAGAAGTCAACGTGATAATTGGCGAAACGTCAACGAGTTTTATTCGTCCACAACCAATGCAGAAATATTTTCAAATAGTATTAACGTCATCAAAGACAAACTTTAAGAGTAATTTAACTATCTGTAGAAGTTTAAAAATCCTAAGGCCAGTATAAAATAACTTAAATAAAAAAGGCGACATTCCAAAGAACTTTAAGAATACTTTACTTTTAATGCTATCATAATATTTGATTATATATTCAAAATTCAAAATCAATATTTTTATATAATATACAGTATTATATTATAATATTTTTATATATACAATAATTATTAGAATACAAAATAATAAAATTCAACCCAAACATTACATTGACCACTGCTAATAAAGTTGTTTGGAAATTAATGGGATTAAGCTATTTTTTTTTATTGATCGAAAATATTATACTTTTTGAAATTTTGAATTTCGCAACATAACTTAAAATCCAATAAGGAATAGAAGTGATATCTTTAATTGACATTGACAGTTATATGCATGAGCTACTTATAGATCCATAAAAAATAAATTATATCTCCGCCATTTTTCATGACAGATTGGACAAACGTATTTTAATAACATTGTTAACTAGCAAAACAAATAGCATGGCATTACCACGGAATTATTGAGAATACCTTGGTATTACGTAACATTTCGAGAGTTTACTGGGATAATTGGAAGAACGTGTACGGTAAAAATGTCTGTGGAACGCCTCTCGTTTCGACTGCCCAGCAGTTCACACACATACAAAATAAAAAGCGCATATAACCGCTGGTTAATTACGACGACAGAGTAACAAACATAACAGTATTATTGCCTGAGAGTATCTCATTAAACATTTCATTACACGGTGCCGCGCAAACGAAGAAAAAAAAGCGACAAATCAATTTCGCGTGTCCAATCGATCGATCCCAATATGAGTGATACTTTAACGGCGGTCGAAAAAACAAAATCGACGACAGAGGTCGTTGGACCCAAAATTTATTTTTGCCGGTGCCGTTCCTTATATGTCCGCTATTTAAGCGCCATTTTTGCGATACAAAACGCGTCGTCATTTGCGCTGACCTTTGCCAACAGACTTTCGAAATTCACGTACGATATTTAACAGACTACCATAGCCGCGCGATAAAGATTTTACTTGCATTTTGTTATAGTTTTTTACGAAAAAATATTTTGACAGATATCGCTCTGGTATCTGAACATAGAACAATGCGTTTCATAGTTCCAAACCCAAAAGGACGAAGAATTAACAGTATAACCTTACTTTATTCATTTTTTATATAGCAAATTCATTTGAATAAGTAATTTCAACGGTCTGGGTTTCCTACTTCTTTGCGGTCCTTTCTTAGTTTTGGTGTAGCATAGTGCTATTTTAAAATTAGTTAACCAAATCTCACATCACGAAATTCTTCAATTTCCATCGTCTCATGCCAAGATATTTACTTTAATACGGTCCCTGCTTCACAAGTCATTCCAGCATAAACAATAGATTCGGTTAATAATTATGCTTCTAATTTTCAATCACATGTATGAAATTATTCTAGAGCGAATTACAAAGTCAGAGGTTGCCGACATTGGTAATCAAGGGACGTTAAACGAAAGATCAAGAATTTCGGATAATATAATAAAAACTATCAATTAGACAAGAAGATACAATCGCTATATACCACGTTTAGTGTCCTGCAAAGAACTTATCAGTGGTGACCAGATCACAGAAGACGATTTTTATTCTGAAGCCATGGCATATGTAGGGCCGGACCTCGAGCTAAAAAGTTAAAGGTTATGAACGTACGTTTTGAGAAAAAAAGAGGGTCACTTTGGTTACTATTGAATCTGTCATGCAGATGGTTCCCACAAACGACTACACAGTGATTTTTGACGGTAAAACCTTACATTAGAATGTAAAAACTTTCAAATGAATAGCGCTGTTATAGTTAAGTTAAACAGCATGCCCTATATTTTATTACATTTTTAGATTCACTGCAACCTTCCGGTTATTTTTTTCTTAATTCCTTCCTACAGCTATATAGCAATATTAATTATTTTCATTTTTTTTCTCCATAATATGGTGCCAGTTAAACTTGTTGAGTTAATTCTGTTGAAAAAAATTCTCACAAAGTTTAGCATTTGGTTTAATGCAGGTGGCGTCATATAGAATGAAACACGCTGGTTGACATGTACATATTTAATGTATAATTTATCAAAAAAATCAACCCACGATACGGTTAACACTATTTTGCTCAGTTCCGTGCACCGGCACGAGAGTAAGTGTATTGCCTAACCCCCTGGCACATCCCCTTTTTTTTACAAAGTTGACGTTTACAACATGATTTCCATTCTACTTATATCTAGTTACACATAATCAGATAAATATGCAGGTCTTTTAATGTCACGCTTTGGCCCGATCGGAGTCGCACTTTTAGAACATGTAATGTCCTGTTGTTTTTTCACCTTGCTTTTACGCGCTCAGGGTCAACTGAAATACCCTTTTTGCAAATAATATGACCTAAATATTTCACCGTTGTTTTCCCTTTGATTCATTTTTTGGGTTTTCTTTGTGTAATTTTGACAATACTTTATATAATATTTCATCATGTTTCTCAATGGCGTTAGCATGTATCAAAATATTGTCGCTTAAAGGAAAACCTACTATATGGTGTAATAAATGTAGTTAAAATCTCACTTTCACTTCAAATTTTATTTGATAGAACCCACTTGTGGTGTCTAATTTAGAAAAATATGTAAAACCCTTGTGTGTGCCAACGTATCTTCGACCTTTGAGAGTGGAAAATGAGAACGAAGTACATTTTCATTTAATTTTGTATAATCGCAGCATAGGCGAACTGTGTCTCCCTTGTCTACGCAAACTATTTCACTTACCCACCTAGTTGGAGTCTTAATCGGTTGTTGCAGTATATTGATCACAGACAGTACCGGTGTCTTTACGAGGATACCCGAAGGATACATTGAATTACAGTATTAAAAACATTTCTATAGAACTCGTATGAAACATTTTGAATAGGAACTTTGCCTTGATATAGTTTATACACTTTTGCAATATTATGCCCGCCGCTTAAATAAATACGATCTGATTTTTTAGGGCCATAATGGCTTTTGTTGCCCTGACACGCCCCAATATAACTAATCACATTTTCATTTGCCTGATCAGAAATTTTTCTAAGTCGATTTAAATACTTACCTCTTAAATTGCTATTGCTTTTAGCGTTAACTGATTGAGTCAATTTTGTTGTTATAATCAAGGTCATTCGAAGCATAAAAAGCGTTGTTGGTTAAAGTTATTTCCAAAGGAGTAAATCATTGAAATGAACAGAAGGAACTGAATTATCAAAAATAGTAGTTATTTTGGTTTAGGACAAAAATAAAAAACATTTAGTGCAAGTGGAAGTGTTAAATAGTGGTCAAAATGTTGCCTTAATACAGCTGGCGCCATCTAGGACGTAAAAGATGAAACACACTGGTAGAAATTAGGTGTGTCCGCATGGGAATTGTATGCCGATTTAGATAACTTTTCGCCTGTCATAGGACGGGAAACCCTTGAGTGGGTCACGACAGTGTTTAACACTGCTTAAAACTAATACTTTGCTAACGTCTGATCTTAATTACATAAATGGTTATTTTAGAGCAATTAGGAGTTTACAGCATTCCATGCATATGCGGCAAAGAATATATTGGAGAGACCGGACGAAAAATATCAACTAGGCTCGAAGAACATGAAAGAGCCTTAAGACTAAGACAAATAAACTCATCGGCTGTTGCCCAACACACTCATGAAACCGGACATAAAATTTTATTCGATAAAACTAAAATTCTTGCATGTAATCAGTTCTTCTAAAAACGAAAAATCCGAGAGTCTATAGAAATCTATAAACCTAACAATCTTAACCGCGACTCAGTCTCTACCTATCACCAATTTGGGAATCAGTCATCCGAGACGGTGTTTATGCCTCTCATTAGCGTCCTCCCTCAAACACTATACAAGCAGGTACAGAGTAAAATACGAGCCAGTTTCAGTCAAGCTCTGAAGAGCCCAACAGGCGAAACGTCAGTAATTTTGACTCAGCAAAAACCAACACAGGAGGAATCCAGAGGTGTTGTAAAAACTGTCATAGACGAATCTATGAAATTTTAAAAATATTCTTATAAATCCATCCGATCCACATCTTATGTAATAACTGGATCATCAAATCATAGAATGTAACTCCTGATTTTAACCGCTCATCATTAAGTTCCCGTTAAAATAAAGTGCTAAAGCATTTGAGCATTAGAACGCTTACGAAAAATTCCGCTCTAAAATCCGTACTGAATCGTACCCATTACTATGTCCCACAGGGAGTTGTGGCTTTAACCTCATCTTAATTCTATCTTAATAAAATTGTGTGGTATGTAATTTAGAGTTTACACTTACCTTGGTTCTTTATCCAAAACAGTTAATAATAACGATATTAGATTGTCGTTTTTTTGCACTACTATAATAAAATATAAATATTACATATAGCAAAGACGTTGCTGCCAATTATTAACGAGACGCACTATAGATAATGGTAGTTATCACGACTGACGCCAAGTTGTAAACATCTAACCCTACGGAAACCATATAGAGATTTATTTTGAAAGTGATTTGGATAATAATTCAGATAAAAGTAATGCTTTGGATGTGGATGTGGAAGTTTTTACTAATATTTATTTATGCGTATTGCCAAAGCGTATTTATAAATACATAAAAAGATTATAATCATTCTAGATGATAAAATATAGTTTTGGTTAGTTAGAAAAAAATAAAATTTTCTTGTCTCCATATAAAACTGCTTTGTAAACTATGGCCAAAATTTGAACAAAAAATAGAGATAATAATTATTTTCTCAAAAATCAACAAAGACAAGGGAGCTATTCTATAAAAATAATCAGAATTTAAAGGCTGAACGGAAAATTCACTAATATACAGGAACCACATTAGAGGTAAACATCAATCATCTTAGCAACATTCCTATTTTTTTTAACTGTTAATAGATAAAACACTAGAAGATATTTTATGAGTTCAATTGAGTCAGTACAATACTACTTATACTACAGTTTTTAAAAACTTAAAACTTATACTACAGTATTTAAAACTATATCGTCTCACTGCACCACTGATGAAGGTCTAAACCATTAATCTAAGGATCAACAACTTACTCTTTTTGTTAGTTTTATCTATGAGATTTGGTTTTCGAAACTTATACAGATAACAAAAAATATTATCGTTCCATAGGAAATGAATGGAAGGAAGCTGCAAAATATTAAGATATTCCCCCGACACAGAACTTTGCTGTTGAGGTTAGTACTTAGCAATGAGAAAACAAATGCGACAACTTTTGATATCCTCACTTTAGATTAGTATAAAAACAACTGTGAGTATTTTATTACGGTGGAGTGTAAACAAAAATTAATCAAAAAAATATAATAAGTAAAAAATGTAATATATTCTTTGCAACAATTTAATATGAAGTATTCCACACTTCCTTAATTTTAGACTTTAAACCTTCTTTGTGGACCAAATCAGGATTGCTTGAAGACCAATCCATAACCCGAATAGCATGATTTTCAAACCACTTTCGGATAGTTCTAGCAATGATGCGCTATTTTGCTGAAAAATAAATCTCTCTGTTCAGCACAATTTTTGAATGCTAGGAATTAAATTGTTTTCCAGTATTTCTTGATACTTCTTTGTTTTAACTGTTCCATTTCCCAAAAACCAACAAACTTTACAGTACGTTTTAAGCTACCCTTATAGAAATCCTCTTTTTTTGTTCTTATTACTCTTTTTTGATCACCTCCCACACACATATAAATTTTTGACTCATCACAAAAAGTAACTGAATTCCACTGTTCCAGTTACCATTTTCTGATGCTAATATTTTGCGTTTTAAAGATGACGTGTTTGTTCACACGTCAACTCGGTATCCAGGTCAATTGGGTTATTGTTTCTTGATTATTGGTTTTCGATTTGGGCTGAACATTTAATGGTGTGCATTAGTTTAATAAATTGTTTATGTAACGTTATATATTTTTAATTTATTTTTTTACACTTCACCACAATAAAATATTCAGAAGCTGTTATGTGACTTTGGTAAAAATTATTAGGCTATGTCTTTTTTTTTCGAGCATCATTATTGGTATTTTAAATGGGACACTCTGTATATAATCGGATTTTCTGTTCTGACAAAAATTTATGGTGATTTTTGTGTAAAACCTTATACCTATATTCGTGGAGAGCTGAATAATTTTTCAATAGTTTACAAAGATCTCCCACAATAGTTTTATGTATAGAAGTTCACTCTGCAATACACAGGGACGCTCAAAAATAATGATTGTTTTTAAGTTAAAACCCTATACTTTATCAATTAGTCTGGAAGACAATGAAAACCCACTTCAAATTATATATCACGTTGCTATACCGAAATATGAAGAACATAAACTATGGCGCGAGACATTAGTAAACTATAGACAAAAAACAAATTTCAGCTGTCTACGAATTCTAATTTGGATGTAATAAAGACTCAATCAAAAAATAGAAGACGCCGCATCACTGAAAATACATTGAACGGCTAAAATATGCTAAAAAATTGCTTATAAAAAGTAGGAGATGCGTATACGGGTATGCTACATGAATTACGCATGAAATTTAACACATAATTCAAAAATGAATTTAAAAAATGTTATTTCGCCTAAACAAAGAAATTTCATATTGACATTTACTTTTTGAACAACCCCTGTATATTTTCTTTGCTGTAAAAAATACGCAAGAAAAAACTACGACGGATGCGTGCGAGCATTTTTCTTGAAATTGAATACCTGAATTTTTAGCCTTTCACCATGTATTAGTTCGTCTTCTATTTAAATCACCAAATTTTTAGCACGACGCCGCCATAAACGTCTAACCTGCCAACCACCGCAAATCGCCCTTAAAGCTATACGAATTTTTCGAATATATCCACAATATCTAAAATGCAGCAAAAATAATAAAACTCATAATAATATATAAAAAAATGTATTAAATTTCTTAACAATGGCTGAACAATATCAAAAATACGTTTACACAAAATTACAGTCAATCTCTCACGCGCACATACTCGTGTACGTACGTACACTCTGCTTGACGCCCCAGACGCTTGATGATTAAAAATGTGCACTCGAAGATATAGGAATCAATCCCCTTGTAAAATATTTTGGTATTTGGTATAGCAACGTCGGCAAACTAGGTGTTCCAGCACAAGTGTTGAAGTTGGAACTGGACATGTGTGTGTTGTACGATCTAGAATAATAAAGTACTGAATCAAAAAACTTCTAAGAAGAAATAGTATATTATGCCACAAGTGCGGTAAACGGCATTTGACTTACGAGTTTTTAATAAATGAGTGAGTTAAAAAGTTTACCGAACGTGTCGCATAATATACTTTTTCTACGACCGTTAGTTTTTGGATACATTTTCGCAAAACAACACTGACATGACCGTCAGAATTGACAAACGTTAAAATTCAGAGCGTGGGAAATATCTCCGAAAACATCCGATTGCTCCCAAATCCGTGCGGTAAAATCCCGGAAATGTCCGAAGTGGCTCGGATTCGTGGGAAACCAAACGTGGTAAAGTGACGCTTCCCGTACTCTAGATCGATAGGTAATTAGGTATTTTACAGAAGGGAGTAGAAAAATTATATTTTTTATACCAATTATTAATCCCACTCCTAATACAACAAGTTTACATTTTGAAGCAGAGAGATGACTTCAATTATTTTGAGTTCTTTGGAATATTTTCCAGTTTGCAAAACATTATTAGTGAGTTCTACGACTTCTGGCTCAATGATGGGGACGATTGTTTTACAGGGAGTTAATAGCTTCCTTTATTTTCATCAGCGTAGTTGGCTCCTAAAATATACAATCTACAACCTTTTCGTCTTTTAAACTTGGTTTTTGGTTCTTGTTTTGCTTGCTAATGTTTCTCCAATTGTAGAAAAACGTATAGAGTGGCTGGTTTGAGAGAGGCCTCTAAGGTAAGATAAGGTCAAATCTATGAGTGTTATAAAATAGTATATTATGCAACAAGTGCGGTAAACAGCATTTGATTCACGAGTTTATTTGACACAAGCGAAGCGAGAGTTTAATAAACGAGTGACTTAAAAAGTTTACCAAACGTTTTGCATACTATACTTTTTCTACGACCGTTAGTTTTTGATTACATTTTCACAAAACAACACGAATACATTCACTGACATGACCGTCAGAATTGACAAACGTCAAAATTCAAGGCGTGGAAAATATCTCCGAAAACATCCGATTGCTGCCAAACTCGTACGGTATAATCCCAGAAATGTCCGAAGTGGCTCGGATCCGTTTGAAACGAAGCTGACGTGGTAAAGTGACATTTCTCGCACGCTAGATCGGTGTGTAATTAGGTATTTTACAGCCGGGAGTAGAAAAAAAGTCATTTACAGTACAATAATCTTTAATTTTCAAATGTCACTCAATTCCACAGGGTTTTCAAATACAGTTATATATTTTTTAAAGGGACACCCTATATTTTATATCATTTTTAGATATCTCTTTAAAAGACAAATGCAAAGATATATATAACGCTCTCTAATGCACCGTTATTAACGAATATCTTCGGAATTCAGGTTATGTTGGAAAGATTTTTGTTAGGTTTAATCTTAGCTTTAAAAACATTTTTCTGTGTAACATATTTTAGAAAATAATATTTTTTCTCAGACAATATTCAACATTATTTCGCAGTGTCGCAATGTTTCGTAAAATGTTTCTTGCTCTCAATTTTTTTATTTAAATATCTCGGATATTTTTACATTCTCAGATACCCCTTTAAAAGATGAATCCAATGATGCAAATTTATTGGAGTTTTTTACCAACTTCAATCAATTAACTTTAATTCTTTTTTTTTATAAAATTGCTCTATGATTTTATTTTTAAAACAGTAACATCTGAAAATCTTTTCAAAAATAAAATTAACAATTTCATATTAAATTTTCCATATTTTGAATAATGAAAGTGATTCATGGAATTTACTATATAATTCGTCGTATTTAATTTTTGAATTTGTTGTTCCACCGGCTTATTTTTATAGAATATTTCTTTTAAAGTACCCTGCAAAAATAAACCCAGTGCGTTTAAATACGCGCTCCTTGCTAACCAGATGGTATCATTTTGTTCAATACATGATCTGAACTTAAAAATTTACTGATATCAGTACTTCGATGATAAGGAGCACCAACTTGTTGCCAAACAAAATTTGGACATTCTCTTTCAGGAATAGTATTCCGAATAAAAGGCTAATTATTATTACTAATAAATCTAAAAATCATACTGCTCGCAGCGCTCCAGTAATGCATATTTTTTCGATGATGTAATGTTACTGATGTTGGAATTATGAAATAATATTTATTCATTTATTTATTTTCCAATAAACAACTTTTATTATATTTAACGGTATTGGAAATAATTTTATTAAAAAAAAATTACAAACGCTTTCAGAATTCAGAAAGCGTTAATATTGCCTGGGAATTAGTAAAAATCGGAAACGGTGTATCGCAGACCAATGCCACATATATATAAATATGTTTGATAAGCAAAAACTGAGAGAAGTAACATTTTGCGAAACATCGTAACAAAATTTTAAATATTGTCTAAAATATGTTCCGCAGAAAAATGTTTTAAAAATTAATATGCCCTTCCAACATTACCTAAATCCCGGAGATATTCGCTAACGGTGTTTTATATATATCCTTAGATTCGTCTTTTAAAGGGGTATTTGAAAGCGTAATAAAATATAGAGTGTTTCATTTCAATAAGACAAGTTGACTAGAAAACAACTTTTGCATTCAAACCTTTCGAGATAAGATATAGGCCTCTCTTAAACCTTGTACATTTAACTCATTAGTAATTTCTTTGTCATCTTATTGTGAGCAACGCAAGTTTAATTATTAAACATCCTATAAAGAATTTCCTCGCAACGATATGTAAATAAGATTTTTTCGAAAAAAAGAAGAAAAGTAATCAAATGAATTACAGTACAGTCCCGGTTATTCGAATCGCGATTTTCCGAAATACGATTTATGCGAGATAAACAATTAAAACTAACGAAAAATTCCGATTAGCCGAAAAAATCTGCATTATACGAAACGCGTCCAGGAATCGCCTATACTGTTGGGTGGTTCCACCGCAGGTTTCACGACGATACGAGTCTAAAATGGGAATTGTTTGGGTTAGCCGACATAGTGTTACAAGTGTGTAATAAAGTCTGTTGTTATCGAAATAAGATTAGTTTTATTTTGAAATAATTTAACAAAATGCAGCGTCCGAGCAATAAACGTAAACCCGTTGTTATGAGCTTGCACGACAAACTTAAAACCGTTCTACGATTACGAAAGGACTTGAGTAGAGGGGTGAGTATGGTTGCAGAATTGATAAAAAATCGCGAGAAACTTACAAAATGTATTTTGTAATTATTGTATTGTATTATTGTATTTTGTCATCGCCGACCCCGGCATGAAACAGGATGAAGAGTGGTGAATACGAAAATGTTTTCTCACTATTTTAAAACAAAAAACAGTGTGTTTATGGGAAAACGATGGAAAAAAGACATAGTGTATGTCAACTGAAAGTTTGTAGGGAAAAGTGATCTGCAGTGTATTTGGCGCAAAAGAAATTGCAGAGAATTTTATGAAGCTTATGAAAGAAAATGATTTAGAACCAGACCAGATCTACAATTGTGAAGAAACCGGCTTCTGGGAGACACAAATCCCATTACTATGTATCGGTAAGTCAGCACAAAAATGAATAAAAGCCTGGATGAATGCGAAACTATTTAAAAATTGGTACCAAAAGTGCAGACTTTTTTTAAAGAGCACGGATACCGCAGAAAATGTGGTTTGCGGAGCAACTTGAAAGTGGGGAAATAAAAGCAATGTTTATTCCCCCTGCTGTAACTTCTCTCATTCAGTCCGTCGATCAGCGTATGCTAGAAAATTTAAAATGTAATTACAGGCGTTTGCTATTGGAGCATATTTTGGAAGAGGTACATGAGGGTGCCGATCTCAGTGAATCTCTAAAGAAAATAAACTTGAAAATGTCGTATATTGGATAGCTTCAGCTTGGAATGAAGTAAATACCATATTTGAAAATGTTACGGAAACAGAAGATTATGAATGGTTAGACAGTGATAGCGTAGAAGATGAAATGACTGACCAAGAAATAATTAAAAGTGTTTGCAAAAACGCTATTGAAATAAATAGTGATGACAATGATGATGACGAAGTAAAAGGCCCTGACAACATTCCAGTAATATAATAATAATAATAATAATAATAATTTTATTACTGTTTATTTGATTTTAAATAATAACAATCAGCAATTACAATACATTACTATTAACACTTATGGCACACATTATCAAACAAATCAACAATATTTTTTTGGGCGAACTATGGTATTTTAGGATATTTGTTTGCCCAGTAATGTTGTTTAAACAAATTAAGGTTGTTTGCTTGATTAAAAAGTTATACTATAGAGCTTTTATTATTATTTTCTAATTTAATCCAAGTAAAATAAATCAAAACCGCTTTTATTTCACATTCAGAAGAACTAGAGGCCTTGCAGAAAGCCTTAACTTATGTAGAACAAGAAAATGCAACTGCCGCAGATGTTCTTTTTATCAAACGTAAGAGAAATATTGAGGCCAAAAACACAAGTAGTGTCAGTTAAAAATTACCTGATGTTTAGGACAGTAAAGTAAATAATATATTTACATTTAACATATATACCGGGTGATGATTGCCCAAATACTTGAATAAATTTTAATAAGCCAATCTTTAATTATTGAATTAAATAGGATGGCAAAACTTGACAACGTGAAGCTGGACAATGACATATCAAATTAAGGTTGGTTTACAATAAAGGCATGTACATTTGATTTCACACATTCAAAACAAACTAAGTATGTAGGTATATCATTGTTTTTCTTAGGTTCTTAAGACCTCTTTGTCCCTCCTTAAATTGTTGTTTTAATCAATTCTTCGAGTATGAACAAAACAATATTCATTGTGTTTGCTCTTATACCGACAGTTCTAAACATTTGGTTCGTTGTTGAGTATGAATGTACATTCATCAGTATACAAATATTTTTTAATAAATCCCTATCATTATTTGCTTTTCCATAGTATCGAAACAAAATATACTCTTCTTTCTTCATCGCCTGCCGAAAGCTCTTGATGCTGTTCGCATTTATAGAAAAAATATTTGTTTTTTTAATGTTTGACGTTTATTTACAGCTTGTCCAATCAGTTTGTCTTCTTCCACATGCAGTAAAAGGTTCAAATCTCTATTGTCCCTTTCTTCAGCTCTAGCATCGACATTTCCAGCTGAACATTAGCAATTATTTATTACCGTGGCTCTGGACTCGAATTGGTTAATAATACGTTTAATTGTTGAAATGGAAGATATCGTTTTAGCAGGAAAATAAACTGAAAAGATTTCAGATGTTGCTCTAAGACTGTTTCCTACTTAAAACCACTTAATAATGCTTACTCTTTCTTCAATTGAATAACACATATTTAACTTTAATTAAAGCGCGTTTAATAACGCAAAACAATTACAAATAAAAATTGTGTTACTGTCACGATTTTTTGTGTTGTCATTGTTAAAATTTATTTTACTGGTGTTTGATTTATTACCTAAACCATAAAATTTCCTAATTTTGCCATCACATTTAATTCAATAACTGAAGAAGTTATATTACAACTTTGCAATAAAATGTACAGGGGAGCCAATAATGGGCCACCGAAAAATTTACATGGAATTTCTTATGTTCCGTTCGGCAATGCATCATAAGGTATGTACTGGGTACGTGCTGGGTTATACAATCACCTACAGGGTTAATTTTACAACATCGAAAAAAAAAATGTAAATACAAAAGTTTTAAGATTTTTGCCCTATATATTATTAGCTTAAATCGTAGATCTTTTATTCCTGATTTAAAAAACATATAGTTTATTGACATTTCATTTAGACGTTTTTGAGATATTTCAATTTAAAGATTAAATTATTATTCGACAATAGCCATATTGTTTAAAAATGGTCTAGTCTGCCATGATAGCAGCCATATTATCTATGTTTGCAATTGCTTTAACAATGTTCTACTTTTGACAACTAATCAAAACTAAAGATCTGGAGCGTAAGTTAAATAACTTAAGATATTTCAAATGGGTTATACTGAGGAAGAAAAACGCACGATAATAAAATATTATTCAAACAATAAAAATATCAATAATTAATGCTACACATTTTCCACATAACCTCCATTATTTCCTTTCAATTTCCTAATAATACACGAGGTGATAAAATCAGGGTTTTCTCCGTTTAAATCTTGTAAAACGATATTAAGTCTTTCTTTTACCACGTAAAAACTTTCAGGCCTATTATAATAAATTTTATTTTTTAAGTATCCCCACAAAAAAATGTCGCAAGGATTCAGGTCGGAGCTGTTGGCTGGTTTTAATAAATATATAAATTCAAGTAAAATATTTTATAAATGTCTTTAAGTCGATCTAGTGATATATGTATCCGAAACTCTTATTTTCCAAAAAAAAAAAATCGGATCTATCGAAATTTCGATTATTCGAAATCACTTTGGTCCACACTATTTCGGATTATCGGGACTGTACTGTATAAATTTCAGTTTTTGCATCACACGTGCAAGTTTAAAAACCGTGCACCCAGCAATTTACTAATTTCAATGTGAACTTACTGTGTTTAGATTTGACTCAATTTGGTTCAGATCCGCTTTAACAACGATTCATACTCGTCTATCAACTCGTTCACCGACGGTCTCGCTCCGATGTTGTACTGCAAACACCTTCTGATCGTGTTCACAATGTGAGGCGACACCCATTCAGCATCGGGATACTCGATCCTGTGATTTGGATTGGTGATTGCAGAAAGTTTGGCCCACAGGGGATTTATCTGCTGAAACGGGGTACTGCGGTAGACCAGCTGGTATAATATGCATCCCAAAGACCACACGTCCGACTTAAAGTGCACTTTGTACTTGCACTTCTCGCTAAAGGGACTATCTGCATTCCTAGCCTGAAGCAACGCTTCTGGACTGATATAGTTTGAAGAACCCTCCTGGCAAGATTTATACACGCAAGTCATGTCGCCCTGTACCCTGCTAGCGATGCCGAAATCGATCAGTTTCAAGCCGTATTCGGTTTTAAGGAAGTTCGCCGGCTTTAAGTCGGAATGGATGACGCCTAAAAATTATTTGGAAACGATTTAAATCAACAATTCATCCTGACGGTGGCACAATTACCGTGCTTGTGGATCTGTTGAACGGCATATAGCATTTCCATCCAATAGAACAGAATCAGATGGGCTGGTAAATGGCATTGCCGAGTGCTGAAGTTCTTCAAGATGGAGTGCAAATCTTCATCCCCTATCTCCAACACCATCAGCAGTTTTTCGTTGTCGATGATTTCGCTGGAAAAACGAAATAAGATTTCAGCTCAAACTGATTTATCCGTTAGAAGGAAACAAGCAAAACTTTAATCAAAACTGTCTTCATGTTCAACTTTCGCGTTCTGCCTATAAACTTTTTTTATATTTTTGGATAGGTTGTCCTCCTCTCCTTTCTTATAAACTGATTTGAACAAGGGACAACTAGTTTGAAACGGAACTTGCCTAGTAATATAAAAATAAGAGGTGTCGGATACCTAAAGTCAAAGTTAGAAAACTGGAAAGTACGTAGCTTGACAAACAATAACCAACTTCAGTCCACGTTTTTTAAAAAAATTTGCTCAAATACATTACGAAATGTAGACAGCCTATAAAACTTGATTCTGGTTTTTTCCAATAAAAGGGGGAAATACTTGGTTGAAGTAACTAGAATCGATTATCTTAGTATCATTTTGTAAAATAATTCCTATTCAAATATTTACAATTAACGATCGAATTTTCAAAAAAAAAAGAAAATAGTTATAACTAAAAATAGCATTTTTTTTAAATATGAAACATCTTTCGTAGAAACTGCCACAAGCTACTGTAATAGAAGCTATCGGAAAGGATGATTGGCGAAACGTCAGCAAGTTCAATTGAACAACAACCCACGCAGGAGGAATCCAGAAGGCAACGCTTTAGTCCTTCCAAGTGATGTGCGATGGAATAGCATTGCTGATTGTTTCAAGATGTACGTCACATGGTGGGATAAATTATTAAAAATTTGTGAAGAAAACAAAAATCAAACGGATTCCACCATTTACCAAAAGGTGTCAAATATTGGGCATAGACATGCAGCACAAGAATATTTAAACATTTTAAAACCTATATCAGTTGCTCTTGACGCTAGATGCTGTAGAGCAGTGGAAACATTTACAATATATATTCGAGAATGTTGTAGAATCACATTTATCAAAAATACAAATATTCAGGATCGATACAACCAAGCACCCGTGCTATATCATTTTATAGCCTATATGTTAAACCTTCATAATTTATATCGAAGCCCTGATCTTTTGCCATTAGTAATAAAGTTGAATGCCCGGAGTTGCACATTAAAAAAATATATATGTTTTAAGATGAAAGAATAAAAAAACCAAAATGGAATACAGTGGTGACATCACGAAAGGATGAGCCAAAAATTGTGAAATAGCTACCAATAATAAAACAGTTTCACCAATTTTGGTTTTGTACACTCAGATATAAGGAACAGGATGGAGACAGAAAAAGTGGAAAAATTTGTATTTTTGTTCAAACTATACAAGGTTTATGCAGAAGCATATATTATTATATTTTATTTTTTTATAGAATTGTTTTGCTTTTTATTTGTGATAATATTTTTACGTTGTACATTTTGTGTTACTTTCAATAAAAAAATATTTTCATAAATAGGAGTTTGATTTAAATCATGATTTTAAATTTAAAAAATCATGATTTTAATAGTGATTTAAATCACTTGATTAAAATCACCCCAACCCTGCTCACAAAGACATTTATATAAAAAGGAGACAAACTGGTAGTCAATATAAACAATTATAAATGGTTGGATTTGATTTAGCCAATTACCATTACCATTTTATTTTCAAAATATCAAATCTTTGTTTTCTACCAATTAGACTTGTCATTTCAAACAAATCAATAACAATTCTACAGTTTTCCGTTTGGATGTGGCAATTTTTCGATAGTACTTCATCAGTATGCCCGGATCCCATTAAATTTGCAGAAAGAATAAAGAGTGAAGATTATGTTACGTGAAAGACAAGGACAGGGAGAGGCTCCACGCCCACATCAAGGGCCATCTGCAAGAATAGAATGTTTAGAAAGAAAATTGCGTTAATTGTAAGTGCAGATTAGCGTATAAAACTTAGGACCATCATCGGAAACTCATTTCCTTCTGTATAGCCACCTGAGACAATCAGAATCGCCCGTTCCTCCACACCAAGCTACAAATATCTCTTATATAATAACTATGTCATTTAAAAGTGAAGGGAGTATAAATTAACATCCAACAAGCGCGACGAAGGGGAAGAAAGATAAAGGAAGATAACCCAAAGAAGAAATTAAAATAGCAGTATTACAAAGTTTCATTAGTCCGGATGTATACAAACTCTTGAGTGATTTGAGCCTAAACAGAATGCCAGCTCATATGTGCAGTTCATGTGAGGTGACAGAAATGTTATAGGTCCGGGCAAGTGACTGACTCTTTGCAGAGTCTGGGGCATAAAAAAGTTAATTTTTAGGTAACTCTTTGGCATATAAAAATACCCAATAAACAAGCAGCAACAAATCACAAGCAGAGAGAACTTTTCAAACAAGAATTCAGCCAATAAAAGAAAAGCAATAAGATGCCATATAGACCATCAAACAAAATTGAGATAAGGTGGTCAAAGAGTACAAATAAGAGGACCAAAAGACAGCCCTCATATGGAAATAACACAACAGGGCAAGGCCCATAAATACACAAGTGGAAGTAACAAATTTTTAAACAGTAATGTTAGCAAATGTAAGCCCATCAGCATGTATAAAATATGGCCATTTTATTTGTGACATACTTATATATACTTAAAAAGAGTTCATTCAATCAAAGGTGTGTGTGTAACATTCAAGTCACCTTAATATTGCATGTAATAAAGTTTTGTGCTGCTCACTTTGAGGGATTTCTCAAATATCAACGTGATCAAAAGTGTATACTGTACTGTGGTGAGATCCTCACTCGAATATACATGTATGGATTGATCATCTTATAACAGAATTTACATAGTGTCATTAGAACGAGTAGTGAAACATGTTGAGCTCCTATTACCTATGAAATGCAATTAATTACAATGAATTGGCTGACATATTTAATATTCAAAACTTGCCTAGAAAATTTTATAATCTTTGCTTTCTATTTCCTTAGTGAATAATCATGTTTGTTGTCCTGAACTTATATCTGGCTGGGTGTTTTTGTTCAGTCTAGTATTTATAGAGAAACAAAATCAACTCAGTGTTGGCACTAATTTGGTTAGTTTGCAACTTTGGCAAAATAAAAAAACAAAATTAAAAGTGTCTTGGTGCCTTAATTTTGCTTAGACTGAAATTACTGTGGTCTTGTTTTTATATATACATTTTTATGGTCAATCTCTTAAATTATTATTGTGATTAATATAACAGTACTCACTAATCGTACATCTTGATTATACGTTCACAATTTTGCAATGACTCTAACAACTTAGCTTCATTGATATAGCCTGCCGCAGTGTCCGGATTCAACAACAACACACACTTGATAGCCACATGAACCTCATTAACTGGATCATAACAATGATACACTTCAGAACTAGCGCCTCGACCCAGCAGATTCATTACAAAATATTCAATGTTTTGAACTGTCATTTGATTACCCCTCTCCTCACATTCGGAAATAGTTCTGCAAAACAGAGGGGTGGATTTTTTGAGCCTTTGATATGGAGTGATTTGCTTGCTTCCAGAATACGCACCAATTGGTGGTTTATTTTGTGGGGTTTTAAACACTGATTTTTTATTACTGATGATGAAATGATTGTTTATTGTAGCTCCAATAGTTTTAGGTGTGTCGCAGGGTTTTTTTGCTGAAGCGCTCTCCAATGGAACTATAATATTAATTTTTGGTGTAACTATGCTAAATGGGAGATCTTTATGTTTTTCAGGGGTGCAAATCTTCAATGCTGAAAAGTCTAAATCAAAGCTGTCATTTTGCTTTGTTTCTCCATTTTTGGTTAAACAAATGTCAAAAGGCTGGGTGCCAACATTTTCTTTGTTTTCGGTAATCCCACTGATATATTCTTCGTGTAATTGTTTTTGGGTTAATTTATTGCATTCCGTAATAGGGCTGCCCACATTACTCTGACTCTCTTCATGATCAGATTCATTGGACTCCTCTTTGGCTGCCTGTATCAACTGCTTTCGAATCTGGTCGATATCAATACGCGGTAAATTTGTAAATTTTCTGGGCACATAAGTCCTAAAAATATGTTTATATAGAAAAGATGATTACTTAGCAGTAATTATGAATTAACCATTTTTTGGTGGAGGTAGTTATGAAGTTATTTTCAGAACTCATTCGGTAGTTTTGCAGTGAAAGGCAAGTGAAAAAACCGTGAAAAACAAATTATATTAACGGACATAAACCAAAACTACACTCAACAAATTATTTTGAAATAACTGACATTTTCTCCACAGACCTCTGAAAAATAAGAGATCTGTGGATGTTTCGGGTTTATCTTCTTCTACATTTGTAAACGGATTAGGCCAAACTTTCATTCGAATTCGAATTACAAAATTATTATTATTCAAGCTGCGAAACGAGAAGTTTGCGTTTTGCATTGTGTTTTAAGGTGTGGTTCAAATTCATTTTGTTGAAGTACCATATGCATTTTATTTTTATTCCAAACCTTTAATTCTGGCATCTTTTAATGATCATGACGAAGGTTTAATTCTGTTTTGTGATTTTCTGCTTCCCTTTTGTAAATAACTGCCAAATGATGGTTATTGCCCTTTCATTTGCTTCCGTTATATGAAATAATGCTTACGTCGCCCTCTTTGGACAAACCATGAATTTTAAAGTTACCAACCTTCCGATTTTGTTGTAAGTTACAAATGTCGAATGTCGTTTTTGGTTTTGCGCTTTTTGTGAGGTGAGAGTTTGTAAGTTGTGTGTTTTATCTACAAATAAGAGATATAACAGTAAGTTATTCGGTTGTTGGTTCATATTTTTTCTAGAATGAAATTTTAAGAAATGAATATAATATTAAATCGAATGAATTATTTGCAAACTTTTGAATCATCTCTTTGGGCATTTGGGGGTATCGTTTTGTGAAATTAAGGGCACCGAAGGATATGTTTTTAGTCACCTGGTGATCTACCTGTACATGCACGAATTTCATGTCCTGATGGTTAGTGATTTAAGTATGTTAATTTGGGGTTATATTTTATTTATTTTTCAGTTATTCCATGTTAGGGAAAGAAGTATTCTAGTAAATATTAAGCAGTTTTGATTCGTGCTCGTTTGGAATACTAGCGCGTATGTGAAATCCTATCGATAATGCAAAGCTGAAAATAAATATTAAAAGTGTGCTGCTTTGATTTTTTGTGGTGAAATAATTTGTGCCTGATAGTCCACCGTAAATTAGATTTTTTTGTAAAATATTTGTTAATTTATGTTGGCATTTGAATATATCCTCTTTTTTGGCATTTTACGGTAGTTATTGGCGAGATAGTGAAAATTAATCTCCAGTATTAGAACTGTAAGTAACTATTAAGAATTACACTTACTAATTATACTTTTTACAAATTTCACAATAGAAACTGTGTTTTGTTATATTTTGATTAATATAAATATTTTATTTTACAACATTGTCGCACTGTACTTGCCATATTTCTCTAAATGTTTTATTTGGTCTCAAATATGTATCAAACAATTTGCCATTAAATGTATTCTGTTTTAGTCAACCAACTAGGTTAAAGTGCTAACCATCTGTATCAAACTCTTGACTGGAACCTTCGGCACTGCACTAACACACAATAACGCGTTTTACCACAAACCGAAACTCCATTTTACGTACTTGACGCGCGTTTCGCCAACCAAGTTGGCATCTTCAGGAGAAAATTAAAACTACTAGTTTTAACTACTAACTAACTAACTAAACTACTAGTTTTAATCTTCTCCTGAAGATGCCAACTTGGTTGGCGAAACGCACGTCGAGTACGTAAAATTGAGTTTCGGTTTGTGGTAAAACGCGTTATTGTGTGTTAACCATCTGTATGTTATACACAAGATTATGTATTTTTATTTGAAAAGCAATGTGATGAAGAAAGGATTTTTGTGAATATTTTGCTTGTAAAAATGGAATAACATTCTCAAGATGTAACAAATGAAAATTGAGAGGTAACTTAGAGACACACATATTTTGGCTACTCCCATTTCATTTCCTAATAGTAAAAGTTTTTATATGTATTTTTCACAAACTGTTTTCTTGTTTTCAGCTTTCTACAGAGGGAATGATTGATTACTTTTAAAAGGGGTGTGTGTGTGTGTGGAAACTTCATACAGAAAATGGCGACCTTACCGTTGGGACACCAGGCAGCTGCGGCCTTGCTTGATTTCAACCAAAAGTTGGACATAAATCTGTTGGACAGTGTAGTCGTGAGTATGTATGCAGGCAATGGAGAAACACAAAAGATGGCCCAGGAAGTGTTGACTACCCTGAAGGAACATCCAGATGCATGGACTCGGGTAGACACTATTTTAGAATTTTCGAATAACCAACAAACGAAATTCTTCGCGCTTCAAATACTGGAACAGGTGATCAAGACTCGATGGAAAATCCTACCACGCAATCAATGTGAAGGCATTAAAAAGTACATTGTGTCATTGATCATCAAGACTAGTAGTGATCCACAATCTTTGGAAGCGAACAAGACATACTTGAACAAGCTGAATATGATACTGGTGCAGGTACTGAAACGAGAGTGGCCTAAGAACTGGGAAAGTTTCATACCCGATATTGTTGGCGCGAGTAAAACGAACGAGAGTCTCTGCCAGAACAATATGATAATTTTGAAACTGCTCAGTGAGGAACTGTTCGATTTTTCAGCTGGACAAATTACACAGACCAAAGCCAAACACTTGAAGGACACAATGTGTTCCGAGTTTTCGGCTATTTTTCATTTATGTCAGTTTGTACTAGAAAATTCACAGAACCCGCCGTTAGTCAATGCGACGCTGGAAACGCTGTTGCGGTTTCTTAACTGGATTCCGCTTGGCTACATATTTGAGACCAAATTGATAAACACATTGACATTCAAGTTTTTGCCTGTGCCAATGTTCCGGAATGTCACCCTCAAGTGTCTGACTGAGATCGCGGGCGTAACGGTGACGAATTATGCGGACATGTTCCTGAGCCTATTCAGCCAGACAATGGGGCAATTGGAAGCGATGTTGCCATTGAGCACCGACATCAAGAACGCGTATGCATGTGGCCAGGATCAGGAACAAAATTTCATACAGAATTTGGCATTGTTCCTGTGCACATTCTTGAAGGAGCATGCGAGCATTGCAGAGGGTCAGGTTGAGTTGCTGAGAAATGCATTGCGGTATCTCGTACTCATCTCTGAAGTAGACGAGGTGGAAATTTTTAAGATATGCCTTGAGTATTGGAATAGCCTGGCCTCCGAACTATACAAGGATGCGGAGCTTCAACACATGGTCGGAACGCCCTTATTTTTTCCCAGTTCTCGCCGCGCCCTCTACCAGGAGGTTTTGAATAAGGTTTGTATTTTTTTTTAACTTTTAGAAACGAATAAATACATGACATATGAACTATCAGCACATTGCTTTAATAAATCGCGTTTTGTTTTACAAATTAAGGCTCACTTATAAGTATTTGCTGCTCCATATATAATAATTTACTTTTATAAAATATTAAGAAATCTTTTTTTGACGGATATTGCGTCCGAATGACAAATTTAATGCTTAAAAGTTGTTAGAGGACAACTAGTGTACTAGTACTAGTAATTTTGGTTGTTTTTTTTATGTTATAGTAATTTTTGTCTTATATTATATGTGAATTTATGGCCAATTTGACCTGTCTAAAATTTTTGGTAAATAATTTTGTATGCTTTGCAGTTATACCCTAGATTGTTTTTCAAAAGCAGACAACACTAGTTCATTAATTTCTATGAAAAAATATAACAACAGATTCACTTTAATTTCGTCTGAGACCTCCCCACAGAATCTGCACCTTTTTTTCATTTCTGATCTTATTATGTTAATTAAACCCGGGTTTAGAGTGGAAAATAATCTTGCATAAAATGCAGGGTTTTCATAAATTGACAAATAATTAGTTATCTCATGGTTGGGGGAAAAATAATCATTATAGAGGTAACAATCAGAAAGTAACTCCAAAATAAGTAAATAAATTGAAGAGAATGTAATATTAAATATATAACATTACGTAATGTACTTGTCACGCCAGTGTACCTGTCCGTAGAAAGAATAATGATAGCTACAAGGTTTGTGTGTCTCGTGTTACAGTTAAGATTTAATTTTATGCGTTCAGTCTGTTTCAGGCTCATATTAAAATCAAACTAAGCAGAAATCCCTTAGCTTTTTTGCTTAAGGCAAAGGTTAGTTTTTGTTGTACATTATTATTGGTGTTGATAATCCTAGCCACCCTTATTATACCCAAATCAAAAAATTACTGATTCAGCAATCTTTATTACATGTTCTATTACCAGTGTGCAAATGGTCTGGGTTCATTTTCATCAACTAAATCATTTATTTCACAAGAAAATGGCCTATTGTCTTTTTGTTGACTATTTTCTTCTTTCAGCACTGCGAGACATACTTGCTGTTACCAAAATGACTAATTCACAGCAGAATTCAATATTTTCAAAAAAGACCATATGAACCAGTTATCTGCTCTGTCAGATGGTTAATAACTCTCCATTTCTTGCAGTTGGTGCATTGAATTCTAGATCATCATTAATAATATGAAATAAACTCAAAGACCGACCCACTTGTTGCATTTCCACAAATTGTTATTTACAATCAAAAAGTACCCCGAACTTTAAAACTAGCCGAAGCGTAAAAACGCACAGAAGAGTAAGGTTACCAAAAACATAGCATTTTCTGCATTTATTCCTCATAAAGGTGGGGCAGAGATTCATTGATGAGTTTGTATGATGTAATTTCAATATCACCCTGTACATCTTCAATACAATACAAAACAATTGAGCAATGCTTGTTTATTTCACAAATTTGAAATTTTAACTTTATAAAACCTATTTATAAATAATACACCTCTAAACCGGCCTAGATTTGGTACATTGGTTGGTTGATGCGATTGTTTGGATCAGTTTGTCCGTAGAGAGATTTGTTCTTAATTGGCATTTCCATATTATTTATATTTACCATCTCTGTTGCTGTTTTTTCACTCTCCTATTTGTAGGTGTATTTTTTCACCCAAATTATTACTATGTAGTGAATTAATACTCGCTAATCGTCTTATCTTTTAGAGCAGGAATCTTAGGACATGATTGCCATATACAGGGTGTTACAAAAAATATATGCCATCGCTAAAAGGCAGATTCCTCACCTAAAAATGAGATTGATTCTGCTCCGTTTTATTCAGTTATTTTACCACATAGACTGAGTCATGGGTCATATGGAATTTTTTTGAGCAATGATCTGCCTGAGCTATTAGCTGAGTGAAATTCACGTCGCCTCTCTATCTCTTAAAGTCACTCTCTGGCAGCACTTCCTCCATATACGATTATAACCAACTATAAAGCAGACCCTTTTTTGAATAAAACTGTTTCTTACTTTATCGTTCTTTTAACGATTACAGCTGTCGGAAACGGATATTAAACACAGGGCATTTGTGAGTATGGGCCAAAACAACCCTACATTGGGCGATTGAGTATAAGAGGTAGGGTCTACTAATGCCATAATATACAGGGTGTATCATTGATGTAAATATGTTAGTTTGCTTTGTCACTTATTTATGAATTACCTTGTATATTTGAAAATAATTTTAAATTGTTTCTTTAAGTCTCATCTATAACTTTTTTATTTAACATTTTTCACTAAAACAAATAATAAAGGAGATATATTACATTGACACATTATTTGTACACCCTGTCTTACAACTACCTTTTTCAAAGTTACTGGAATACCCCCCCCCCCCCCCCAAGTTAATACTTATTATACCAGGAAAAAATATTAATATTTTATCTTCAAATTTTAACGTTTTGAATGTTTACGGAGCATTTAATTCTTAGCTACAAAATGTCAATCGGTCCACAGGTTCGTTACATCATGATTTCGCGCATGGCCAAACCGGAAGAGGTGCTCGTGGTAGAAAACGACAACGGCGAGGTCGTTCGGGAATTCATGAAGGACACCGACTCCATCAACCTGTACAAAAACATGAGGGAGACCCTGGTCTACCTGACGCATTTAGACTATACAAATACCGAACGGATAATGACCACGAAACTCCAAAACCAGGTAGACGGTACCGAATGGTCGTGGAAAAACCTCAACACGCTGTGCTGGGCCATCGGTAGTATATCAGGGGCCATGCACGAGGAGGACGAGAAACGATTCCTCGTGACAGTGATCAAGGACCTGCTGCTTCTCTGCGAGCACAAACGCGGCAAAGACAATAAGGCTATCATAGCCTCAAACATTATGTACGTGGTCGGACAGTATCCGAGGTTTTTGCGCGCGCACTGGAAGTTCCTGAAGACGGTCGTTAACAAACTGTTTGAGTTTATGCACGAAACGCACGACGGGGTTCAAGATATGGCATGCGACACCTTCATCAAAATAGCACTGAAGTGCAGGCGGCACTTCGTCACCACGCAGATCGGCGAATCGTGTCCGTTCATCGAGGACATTCTTGCGTCGATGTCGACGATTATTTGCGATCTCCAGCAGCAGCAGGTTCACACGTTTTATGAGGCGGTGGGCTATATGATTTCGGCGCAGGTGGACCAGGCCACGCAAGAGGCGTTGATAGAGAAGTATATGTTGTTACCAAATCAGGTAAGTACCCACAAAAGAGCCTGAATTTTCATTTATTAATTTATTTATTTAACGTGCTGGGTTAACAAGTACGGATAGATTAAAGTCCAAGGAGTTTTACTCTTAATTTTTGGATGCTCCTAGGTTTCTAAGAACCCATATGCCCTTTCTTAAAAATAAAGATAATAATGATGTTAACACTCTAATTGAATGTCATTGATTAAGGGGGCACTATTTGGGTCCATTTTAACAAGAAAAATTCTTGTCCTTGTCTTTTATGTCCTAATCGTCCTAACTTTTGAGAGTTGGGGTGGTAAATTTTATTATGTGTAATACCACTATAGATCTTCTAGAAATCGCAATCTCACGGAATCATGTATATCCATCCAACTTTAGCTTTCCATGTTTGTCTATCCATTGCTTCTGTTAGTAAGTCTTGCAGCGGCGTATCCGTGTTTTTCTTTACTTGGTCTATCCATGTAACAGGTGACCTGTCTCTTGGTTGTTGTCCTTCCACCTTTCCCTGTACTATCATTTTCTCCAGGTTGTCGCCATCTCGTCTTGTGGTGTGTCCAAAGTATTTTAAGATTCGCCTGCTAGAATACTGTGCACAGTCTGCCTTTGATCTTTAGGTCCCTTAGTATAGATTCATTGGTACGTTTCTCAGTCCATGAAATCCGTAGCATACGCCGCCAACACCACATCATCTTTCATATGCCTGGTGTTTTCATAGTCCAGGACTCCGCTCCATACAGAAAGATTGAGAATACAAGGCATTTAACCAGCATGATTTTCGTGTTTCTTGTGATGTGTCGATCTTTCCATATTGTGGTGAGGTTACTCATGCCTCCTTGTGCCATTGCTATTCGTACTTTTATTTCTTTTTCGGACCCGCCTTGGTTACTTATTAGTGATCCCAGACACACAAATTCATCTACATTTTCTATGTTTGTGAGGTTCGGACGTGGAAGGATTCCCGCTCTGTCAATCACCATGAGCTTAGTTTTGCTGAGATTTATTTCCAGAGGCATCCTAGCACTTTCACTTTCCACTCTGTTCAACATCATCCTTATTTCGGTCTCATTTCTCGCCAGCAGCATTGTATCCTCTGCATATCGTAGGTTTGTTAGTTTTTTACCTCCTATTGACAGTCCTCCTTCGAAATCGCCTAGGGCGTTTCTGATTATGTGTTCGCCTTAGTCGTTCAAAAGCCTGGGGGACAATATGCATCATTGTCGCACCCCCTTTTGTATATTGAAAGTTTGTGATGAGTGGTTATCTATTCTCACTATGACTCCATTTGATTCATATAGGCTCTTAATTAGACATATTAGGTGTTTCGCTACTCCTATGTCTCTTAGTATTTGCCGCAAGCATTTCCATTTTATGCAGTCGAATGTTTTTTTATGGTCAATAAAGCAGAGTAGCATAAGGGAATTAAATTCTCTTGATTTTTCAATTACTTGTATAATATTGAAAATTTGGTCTCGTGTTCCTCTTCTTTTCGCAAAGCCGGCTTGCTCGGGAGGTATTTGTGAGGCGTGCGATATCAAAGAGATTGTTCAATAGTTTTCAGATTTTTTCGATTGGCCATGTCTTTGTGTGCCAGATCTTGTTGCAAATATCCAATAGTATGTCTATTCCCGGTTCCTCCAATGTCTAGTATTTCAGCATTTATGTGATCCACTCCTGGTGTCTTGTTTGTCTTCAGATGTTGTATGGCTTCTATAACCTCAGCCTTTAATATATTCGGCTCTTTTTCCGCTTCCTCGTATTGTTCTAAATATTCTCCTCCTAGATCTCGATGGTTGCCGTAAAGTTCTTAGTAGTACTGTTTTCATCTATTCAGAACTTTTTCTGTCTCCCACAATATAGTTCCGCTTTTATTCTCTATTGCCAGTGTTTTAGGTTTAAATTTTCTGGACAGTAAATTCACTTTCTGGAAAAGGTCGCTCGTTTGATTGGTATTCTTGTGCTCTTCAATCTCTTCGTATATCTTTTTGATATATTCATTTTTATCTTTTCGACTAAGGTGAGCGTGCTTCAATTGATTTTCAGTCTTGTATGGAATGTTTTTGCTTTTTTCAATAATACTCAATGTCTCCTCTGTCATCCAGTGCTTAGTCTGCCCGTTTTTTCCCTTGGTCCCTTGATGTTCATTGTGTCGCTTCAATGTTGCTTCTAAATGCTAACCATTCCGATTCGCATTCGTTGTTCATGATATCTATCTTATTGTCTTCTAATTTTCTGTTTATTTCTGTTTTGAGCAGTTTTGTTACTTCATGTTGGGGTGAATTTATGTTTTTCAATTTTAGTCTCATATCTGCAGCAAGCAATTGGTGATCCGCAATCTGCCCTGGGGAGGGTCCTCGCGTTGTTTATGGATGACTTCCATCGAGCGTTGATTATTATGTAATCAATTTGATTCCTGTATCTGTCTCCGTGTGATTTCCACGTATATAATGGTCGAATATGGTGTTGGAATACAGTATTGCTTATAACGAGGCTATTTTTCAAGCAAAACTGTAGCATTAACTCTCCTATCTCGTTTCTCATTTCCATTCCGAAATATCCCACAACCCGTCTTATATGTGTGTCATTTTTTGTCTCGCCGATTTTCGCGTTCATGCAGGTAAGGCTTTTATTCTGCTGTTTAATTCCTCATAAAATCTTTGGATGTGTTCTTCCTCTGATTCCGATGTGGGCGCGTATGCTTGGACTACGTTGAGGTAACAGGGTGTTGATTTTAGCTTTAGTGATATTATTTTGTCGCTCACGGGATTATAACCTAGTACAGACTTTTTCCATTTCTGCGGTACAATTAATGCCACTCCTTTTTGGCTATTTTCGTCATTTCCAGATAAATATATGGAGTTTCCGGATCTTGACGTGAAGTTCCCGGATCCTTTCCAGTGTGTCTCTGCTAGCCCAAGCAGGTCTATATTATAGCGTTCGGCTTCCTTCTCCACTATATGTAGTTTTCCTGTCTGCAAGAGACCCCTTACGTTCCAAGTCGCTATCTTCAATCTTTGATGTATTTTCACATTCAAGTCAGTTCCTCGCGGAGATCCGACTGAGGAACTGTTTACCCTGCAGTTTTAATGAAATTTGGCACACGTGTGCTATGTATCAAGAGGTCTTATTTAGTGCACCACAATTTTTTTCTAAATACACCAGTGGCGGGCCTACGGAATTTGAATCATTTCTAAAGAAATTGAATTTCTTGATTTTTTTCATCCGATGTACGGCTTTTGGTTAAAAAAATAAAAACCTCTTCTCTGCATAGTCATAAACCATGCATTTTTGTGACGAGCCACTGATTTCCTTAAAACAATAATTACATTTGCATTCATTTATGAGCAGATTTGATCCCTTAATTTTTTTTAGTCTATCGCGCGGTTTTCACTTAAAAATAAACACTAATTTCTCTGCATGCCGTCATATCAACGATGTTTTTATGATCATAGAGAGAAGAGGTTTTTATTTTTTTAAGCGTATATCGGATTGAAAAAAATCAACAAATTAAATTTCTTTAGAAATTATTAGGGATTGTAAGAATAATTTTTATTTTAAGAGAATTCAGTTGCGTACCATGAATGGCTGCCAAAATATACAGGTGAAATTCTATACGCCTGCCAGTTGTGGTACACTAAATAATGCCTTTTGATACATGTGTACAATATTAAAAAATATATTTAATTTTTGAAAAGTTTACCATCCTGTATCTCAAAAGTTACGTTTAAGACTTATGTTCATATGAAGTTTCCTTTTTAAAAGGAACCAAAAAATCACCTGCTTAATTGGTGACATTCAATTAGAAAACACGCGGTATAATCTAACTTAAGTGAAAATAACATAATGCAGTGCAATCCCCGCCCAACTAATCCAACAAACATAAAATAAACTATAGTTCAAAACAACACACTGTAAGGTTCTCGATTTTCAGATATAAATTTACGATAATCGTTTTTAAATCTACCCAGTGTATTTATCAGAAAGACTATTACACCGGGTGATGCATTGCCGAACGGAACAAGAAATCCCATGTAAATTTTTATGTGCCCAAATATTGACTCCCCTGTACATTTTATAGGAAAGTTGCAATACAACTTTTTAAAGGCGCCGGTATGATTTTAATAAGCCTACCTTCAGTTATTGAATTAAATATGATAGTAAAATTGCAAAAGGTCAATACAACAAACACCAGCCAATATATTCCATGACGCGATTTCCAAAACTTGACAATGTGAAGCTGGACAATGACATATTAAATTAAGGTTAGTTTTCAATAAAGACTTGCACATTTGAGTTCACACAATCAAATAAAAATAAACTAAGTATGGATCCCACTCATACTCGGTGGTTAAGACCTCTTTGTCTCTTAAAGCATTCTTGGAATGAATTTCATTTTAAGGACGGTTTTAACAACAACGACTATAAATTTAACCCTCAAATCTTGTATTAAAAATAATTAATAATTATAATAAAAATACGGCTACAAGACATTGCTAAAAAGAAACATTATTTAAAATAAACATTATTTTTTATGTAAATGTTCAAACAACCCTCCATTAACAGTTAAACAACATCCTAAGTCATCATAAAATTCATTTCTAACATTGCTTAGTTGATATTGTGAAATCCTGTCACATTCTAAGCAAATAACATCTTGTTACTGGTTAAGATTTTCAAATTTAATATTTTTGTAGATAATGCTTTTAAAGTGACCCCACAGAAAGTCCAAATAGGTTTCTGCCGTAAGGTTATAGTCCATAAAAAATGGCCAAAAATATGATGTCCGCAAATTCGCACCATAACACTTATTTTTTGAGGATATTAGCTTCGAGTATGAACAAAACAATATTCATTGTCTTGACTAAAATACCAACAGTTTTGAACATTTGGTTCGTTGTTGAGTGTGAATGTATTCATCAATAAAACAAATATTTTTTCATCGTTTCAAAACAATATAGTACTCTTTTTTCTTCATCGCCTTCCCGGAGCTCTTGGTATTTATATGAAAAGTATTTGTGTTTTTTTAATGTGCATAACACTGTCCAGCCAACCAGCCCCTTCAAAAAGTTGTATTATAACTTTGCTATTATTTGGCCACCTAAAAATTTACATGGGATTTTCTTCCGTTCAGCAATGCATCACCCGGTATAATATAGGCCCAGAATATTGAAAATTATTTTTCACTTGTTCGCATCGGTACCTGTACTTGTCTATTCGTTATTGGTCTAGTGGTAATAAGATAATTGATTGGGTTTAAAGAGCCTTTATTCTAATAAATATAACAACAAACCATATAAATGTATAACAATTGAACATCGCTAATCTTTTCTCTATGGAGAAAATTTGGTGAATATAAGTGATGTTTTTAAGGATTCTATTCTATCCAGGCCTCCCCAGACTATTATAGCATCAACAGAAGCTCAGTTATACATTGCCTTTGTATATTAAATACCTTAGCTTTTTTGTTAAGAAGTTAATGAATGTGACTCTCCCACTTCAAATTTGTATTAGTACCCAGGTATTTTACAGTTTTTGCCTCTAAAATTTTTTTATTTAAAATTTCAACCTGTATACTTTTAAAAAATAGTTAGTTTTTTCTACATTTAAAGAGTGTCTGTTGCAGTCTAACCATTCTTTTTATTCACGTAGCGTTCTCTTAAAAAAATTTCTAAAGGCTTGAGAAAAGATTGTTCTGAGCAAATTTGTTCATAATAAATTTGTTAAAAATGTTCGCATTGCGCAACGAAATGGTCAAAATACAGGATTTTCAAAAAGTTTGTTTCTGGGATAAACGAGGTCCTGTTTTCGTTACTTTGCAATTTGGCCAAATGTCTTCAAATTATTAATCCGTTTGCTTTTATATTATTTTATAGAGTAAACTGCTCAAATATGGAACAAATTCATTTAAAAATCAGATATTAGGTTGCAAATAAAATGCTCGCACAAGTCCAACATAATTTTTTCTTGCTCATTTTTTTCAATAAACAAAAAGTATATAGGACGGGTCAAAGAGGTGATTGCAAATTCCTTTTTTGGTATGGATCGTCATTTTTTTTAAATCCGTTTCTGCGTCAAATCTCTACTATCAGTAAAGTTGTCACAATAAAATTCCTAAAGGAAATTAGGAGAATTAAAATTCTAATTTTCATTGCCTATGAAGACAAAACAAGAACTCATTTCTAATAAAAATTAAAATTTTAATGCTATTCTTAAATAAATTTGTTCCATATTGTAGGCGTTCACTGTATAGTAAATAGCCTTGTCCAAAACAAATATAGATGAATTATAATCTACTTGGTTCATTACGTAAAACATTTGAATACTCAGTTTATTAATCTCCATAGCTTCCAATAAGCTTTTTGATGGCACAAAAGCAGCCAAAAAAGTTTTTACTCAAAGGACTAAGTGGATTTCCCATTATGAATCCATTTTTAGAAATATATTTTCTCATTAAATTCAAAATTTCTAAATTCTATTAAATCGTGTTTGATAAATGGATTGACTTGTTTTTTGTATGGCAACTTTAGGTGGAAGTATGTGTGATGCTTTAAAATATTTATTGCTTTTGTTGACTTTTTCGCTTTCACTTTTTGTTGTTTAACTGCAGCATCTGAAAATCTGAAGTGTGTTCTTTTTTAATGCGTTAAATGGATTTTAAATTCTTACTCCATGCTTGTAATTTTTCAAGGCAGCAAAGCAACTACATATGAACTTGCAGTATAACTCAAAATTTCGCGTTTTTAAAAATATTTTTTAAGTGTGTTGCCCTTAGATCTGAGGAACTTTTCCCTCTCAATAAGTAATCACTGGAATGCACTGTGGCTTAAAGCCTCTCTATATTGTGGTATATAGCGCAAAAAGCATGTTTTGTTTAAATGCCTTGCCCACACAATGAATATCTCGTCATATTAGCCAAGTTTTATATTATTATTTCTTATTATCAAGTTCTGCGCACGTGTTCCTCTATTAAATAAGTTCTGTGTTATAAGCATAAAAAACAATTAGTCTTTATAATTTCATCTTTCATTTTCGGTTAATGTTAAGTAGCTGAGATCAAGACTTCATTTTTTAAGAAATGTAACTATATTAATTTGTATTAATTAATTTTGTCGAAACCTTGTACAATAATGTAAACTATGTCAGACTATTATTATTATTGTTATGATTATTATTACTGTTATTATTAATCTGTAATAGAAAATAAGATATTGAAAAATAAAAATAATATACAGGGCATTTCTTATGAAACAAGAACATTGACACGTTTTTCTGGTAGAACCAGAAGTCCTGCTCAAATTGTTAATACAGGGTGACATAAAACAATAGAGTTCTTACTCCACGGTTCAGTCAAAGGTCTTGCTTAACCTAGATTTGTTTGGTTTTAATTACAGGTGTGGGACGACATTATTAGCCAAGCTAGTAAAAACGTCGACATTTTAAAAGAAATCGAGGTGGTGAAACAGTTAGCGAGCATTTTAAAAACGAACGTTAGGGCCTGTAAGGCCCTAAACCACGCCTATGTACTTCAGCTAGGTCGAATTTATTTAGATATGTTAAATGTGTATAAGGTAAGTTTCGATTTGTAATAGCTAGTAGATATATGCTGATAATGTTGACAATTAAAGGTCATTTTGACTCATACAACGAAAACTCAAGTTAAAAAAATTAAGGAAACTAAAAAAACAATTGATTTATGGTTCTTTATTAATATTATTAAGCTAATAGAAAAAATATTAAAGGTTAGCAGAAAAGCAAATACTTTAAACTTATTTTTCTCAAAACTAGAATAAAGAATTATTATCGACTTCATTGCAAGAATCGATTTAACACTGAAAATGTTATGCCAATATTTGACCACTTTAATTGGACTTCAAGAGAATCTAAACGAGAAAATATAAATAATTTTGATAATCTCCAATAATAAATTCATATCCTTTTGGATAAATCTTCATTTTGGCCAGGTAATATCAATAAATTATTAATAAGTTTTGTGTAAAAATGCGAAAATGTAGCTTTGAACGCTGCTATGAAATTAATATTTATTCAAACATACATTTGATCAATCGTTTAATTTATTTATTTATTTATAAATGACTTCTAAGCAATGATATTTCACTGGTCTCTAGGCCTCTGATTTACAAACTTAAAAACAAAAACAACAAAAACAAAAAATATATATACAACTTATTTAAAGAAACTGTAAAAAAAACACTTTAAGGTTATAGCGCAAACCATTTGTTTTTAGCATTTATAACATTTTTTGGTAGCCTTTTCAATATCCATATACTTTTAAATAGTGGTGGTGGTCTTGCGGTTCTAGTAAATGGATATCTTAAGAGACTCCAGCTTCGTACATTGCGCCGTTAAATTTGATTTAAGAGTTTTATACTAAATGCAGTAAACAAACTTTATTTGCCCAAATATCTTCAACTTCTTTATATTCCATCCATATCTCGTTAACGCAAGCTGACGGCGGATCCGCCCCTAATTAAGAGACCTATACAGCAATATAATGGCCCCTATACTTCTTCAGTTTTGTTTAACCGCTTGGTTGGTTTTTGTGATCTTTGAATTTTATTGATTAAATATTTCGGAGCATTTCTCTAGCAGGAAATCAAATAATGTAAATGTGATACAATAAAACAGTTATTCACGAGTAGTCTGGAGTTCTTGCACTATTGAGACAATCTTTTTTCCAATGCTGTTTATATATGCGTTTCAAATTAACCAACTTCTTTCTTGTAATATAAAGTCAGCATTCACAGCTTCTAGTTCTTGAATATTTTTTAACACATCTGCAACAATGAAACGTTTTGCACTCAACCCAAGGTATTTTAAGCTATGTACATACAAGCTATACTGGAGGGGGTCTGAGCAACTCCAAAATTTAGCTCTGCCATATCACTCTTTGTGTTGTTTATCATGGTATAATGCACTCCCTTTTTTGAATAAGTTTCTAACAATCTATATGCTGTATTTCGGAATCCCTATCTTGTGAAGCACAGTATCCACTGTATCAAATGATTTTTTTAGATAGATGAAAACTGTCGGACATATTTAGTTTTATCGATTTCTGCCGGGATGTACTCTAATTTGTCTGTTGTCTATGTACTGCTTGTAAATCGAATTTGACATCGTTTTCTTTAAAATTCGTTTTTTAAGGATTTTCTCAAGTATTTTTGACAAAGAACTTAGCACTGAAATTGGTCTATAATGACTTCTGTAGGAGATCCTGTCTACATCTGTTACTATGTTGGTTGCACAATATTTTTTTTGTTATATTGTCTTCAACTGGGGCACAGATCTTTAACAACATCTTTCATCTCCGTAATATCCGTTGTATCCCTTGTTTTTTCGTCTATAAATGTTTAAGTGGATTTATTAGTGCAAAATTTTTGCCTATCTGTGAAAAATATTTATGGAATTCTTCGACTATGGCGTTTGTATTCTATAGTACATCCTTCACTAGTTTTTATTACTTCTATTTTTTCTAATGTTAAACTAATGAAATAACATGCCCTAACAACACGATAATTAATAAACAATTCTTATTTTAAAAAATCACTACCTACTATTAATAATTTTTAACAAAATGTTAATAAATTAATAACAACCTTTGTGAAAAAAAGTAGAATATAGAAACTAGATTATATGATGAAAGTGTCTTCCACCTTGGAGGATACACGTATAATTATGGTCATTTAGCCTTCTGGTAGGACAGGACATTTCCAGCCCAAACATTTCCCTAAAACTGTTGTTTTCATCGGCGTAAATATGATTATTGTGGAAAAATAAAAAGAACAGTCTAATATTTTTTTTCTGAAGGACACTAGAACTAAAAACTAGATATTTTATTTTTCATGAAGAAAAAGTTCTCGATTTAACCATATTATTCATAGACATTCAGTGGTATGGCAGTGATTTTCATAAAAAAAATAACGAAATTTGTATTCATTTATGAGCAGATTTGATCTGTTTAACAATATTGTGATAACCATGCAGAGAAGAGCTTTTTATTTTTTTTAAGCGCAAACTATACATCAAGAAATTTAATTTCTTTAGAAATGACTGAAGATTGTAAGAATAATGTTTATTTTCAGAGAAATGATGTATGGTGTATTAAAAAAATCATTAAAATATCTAAAGTGGTATTACAGATATTAAAAAAATATATTTTATTTTTAAAAACTTTACTATCCTGTATCTCAAAAGACGTTTTGTCAGAGTATTTCAATAGGGTCAGGTCAAACCATGGAGAAGTATTACACACTGCTTACTTTACTTTAAAAATCTGGCATCTTCAATACTACAATCTTTAGCAGGTACTTAAATTAGAACCAAGAACTATTATTAAAAAACTGATCAGTACAGTGGTATCAATATGGCATCACTGAAATAAATGTTCACTTGGTGTGCATCACTTCTTTTGAAATATTAGTTCTAAGTAACTAATAAGTAAAAATATGTATAACATGATGACTTAGATTGCCCCACCCCTCCTTGATAGATTCTTTGATATGATTCCTTTTTAGCAAAATTAGGATATAAAGACTGGCGGCTTCTAGGTACTTTTGCCCCTTTTTCCACATAGACAATTTTAAACTTTCCACATCTTTCTTGTGTCTATCAGCTTCGCCAATTTTGTTTTCTATGTATTGTTTTTCCAAATTTTTTCTTAAAGTATTCACTTTTTCATTTTTGAAAAGTCTCTCTTCATTTACGTTTTTTTTTCACCTTGTGTATAATTTTTGTCTTTTTGCTTTTTTTATGAATTAATTTGTGATCTGCTATCATTTGATCTTCCAGGATAACATCGCACAATATATTTTTGTTGGTGAGGATGTGATCTAATAGAGTGGCAGTAGTTTTTATTGCTCCCGTTACATTTTTCATACTTAACGCATTCTGAATATCGAATTCGTTCATTTTCTCAATATTCGTGTGTTCCTTGACAACCTCGAGTTTCCATCAGAATGCTTAAATTCATATCTCCCACAATTATGCACTGGTTTTTCCAGCTTCCATTATTCAATTTAGGTCAGTTAAAAAAGACTTAGACATTATTTGCAATTTTTGTACGCAGATTATTGTAGTATTCAGTTTTTGCCATATCACTTCCGATGGCAGTTTATTGTCTATAGTAATAATACTTAACCTCTCTTTTATGAATATATTTCATCCACCATTTCTACAGTCATCAATTGCAGTATAACCAGAAAGAAATAAGGAGTTTCAGATATGACTAGTTTGTTTCAATTCATTTATTATATCTAAACGATCATTTATATTAATTTTTAAAGTTCGTACATTTCTGAAAAATAAGATTCTCTATAGACTTAATTTTTAGTTTTGAATTGAATACCTATTCACAGCTTATTCTAATGGGCAGGTCTTATTATTTCCTTTTGAAGAAAATTTTTTCGTTTCTACAATATTTTAATTTTTAAAATCTCTTGACTTCTGAAATAAAATTTTTACTGAATATTGTTTAGTCAAAATTGTAAGAATTATAATCTCCCTTTTATACAAAATTGAAAAAAAAAGAAACTTAAATAAAAAAATCCGGACAGTATTATTAATCATTATTGTTCATTGGGTTTACCATAATCGTCCTGACAATAATAAACATTCCAAATCAACTAAGTTTTGGGCTTCTTTCAGGTTATGTCTGAGAATATAACGGCAGCTATCACACTAAACGGCGAGGGCGTGACAAAACAACCCTTGATCAAGTCAATGCGAGTCGTCAAAAAGGAAACCCTGAAGCTGATCGCCGATTGGATATCGAGATCAAACGATAATTCGATGGTACTGGAGAATTTCATCCCGCCTTTTCTGGATGCGGTACTACTTGACTACCAGAGAACGGCGGTGCCGTGCGCTCGCGAGCCCGAAGTGCTCAGTGCAATCGCCACAATCGTCAATAAGCTACAATTTCATATAACCATTGAAGTGAGTATTTTTTTAAAGAGGATTTGTTATATTTTAATACTTATCGAGATTTTAAAATCGCTAAATGCGTTTTTAAAATCTACGTTTGGCGTACTCCTTTTACAATATTCTCAGCCTTTAGCACGAGCCACTTTAGTTACTGACTGATTATGGGTTTTTCAGATCTTTAATTATAGGAGGGACCTATAGTGGCTTTTCTAATTGAATGTCAATAATTAAGGAGTGCGTCCTAAACGTCTTAATGGGGTGCAATAATATTTTGGTTAATCAGATTGCCACTACACTGACTAATTCAAGAACTTTTTTTTGTGAAAAATAAAATATTCATCTAAAACAAAATATCTGGTTTTTAGTTAACAACTAGTGTCCTTCAGTAATTTTTTTTTAATGAAATAACATTTTAATACTATTAATAATTTTTAACAAAATGTTAATAAATTAATAACAATCTTTTTGAAAAAAATTAGAATATAGAAACTAGGTTATATGATGAAAGTGTACTCTATGTTGGAATACACACATATAATTATTGCCATTTAGCCTTCTAGTAGGACAAAGGGTACAATTAATTAATTTCTAACAATTCCAACCCAATTCTTTACTGAAAAGTGTTGTTTTCATCGGCACAAATATGGTTATTGTGTAAAAATAAAAAGAACAGTCTTCTAATTTTTTTTTTCTGAAGGACACTAGTTGGTAACTAAAAAGTAGATATTTTGTTTTAGATAGATATTTTATTTTTCATGAAAAAAAAGTTCTTGATTTAACCAGTGCAGTGGCGACATAATTAACCAAAATATTATTCATAGACATTCAGTGGCACGACATTGATTTCCTTAAAAAAAATAACGACATTTGCATTCATTTATGAGCAGATTTGATCTCTTAATTTTTTCAACAATATTGCGATAACCATGCAGAAAAGAGCTTTTTATTTTTTTAAGCGCAAACTGTACATCAAGAAATTTAATTTCTTTAGAAATGACTGAAGATTGAAGAATAATTTTTATTTTCAGAGAAATTAGTGTCCTACCATGGTATATTAAAAAAAATCATTAAAATATCTGAAGTAGTATTACAGATATTTAAAAAATATTTTTTATTTTTAAAAACTTTACTACCCTGTATCTCAACAGTTAAGACGTTTCAATTCAATCATTCATTTCAGAACCAGGTGTTTGTCAGGTTATTTTAATAGGCTCAGGTAAAACCAGGGAGAAGTATTACACACTGTTTACTTTACTTTAAAAATCTGGCATCTTCTGACCATTTTGATATTTTGTATACTACAATCTTTATGAGGTACTTAAATTAGGACCAAAGATATAAAAAAACTATTTTTAAAAAACTGATCAGTACAGTGGTATCAATATGGGCATCACTGAAACAAATGCTTACTTGGTGTGCATCACTTCTTTTGAAATATTACTTCCGCTAAGCATCTGGGTTCTTTTCATTTTTATATTTTATGCAACTGTGACCATGATATGAATGTATCGTCTCTAAGCCATGTTATGCCTAAAAATATGTATAACACAAAACATACAAACATAACATAAACATAAAATTAGAATATAAAGACTGGCGGCTTCTGGTAACTTGACTTGATACTCATGACTAACTTTAACCGACTGCCTCCGTAGAAGGTAACGTGATTAGCATTTATTAGGATTTATCGTGTGACGTCTTCTGCTGCGACCTGTTGATGGCGGCACACTCTCAAGTATTCACTCTTCCATCAGATTCGGCCCTTATAGCAAATGCAGTTTAGCACACTTGTTGCATAGTATACTATTATTTGATGACACTCAGTGCAGGTTTGAGGGTAGTAAATTTTATTTGTTTTGACTCAAGGTACCGAAAATCTTCGATGCCGTTTTCGAGTGCACGCTCGACATGATCAACAAAGACTTTGAAGAGTACCCGGAGCACCGCACCAATTTCTTCCTGCTCCTCCAAGCGGTTAACAACTATTGCTTCGCAGCGTTCCTTAACATACCGCCCGCTCAGTTCAAGGTAACTCCGCCCACTGGGACGCCCACCGCATGCCTAAAGTGGTTTTATTCTCTAGCTGGTTCTCGACAGTATCATTTGGGCGTTCAAGCACACGATGAGGAACGTCGCCGATACCGGCCTCCAGATCCTCCTCAAGCTACTGCAGAATGTGGAACAACACGAGGCGGCTGCGCCCAGCTTCTACCGGACATACCTGACTGACATACTGCAGCACGTGTTCTCAGTGGTAACGGACACGTCGCACACTGCTGGCTTGTCCATGCACGCCACCATTCTCGCCTATATATTCTCTCTGGTAGAGTCGGGGCGGGTCAACTGCCAGTTAGGCCCAGCTCCTGACAACGTCCTCTATGTAAAGGAGTTCACCGCGTCGTTGCTGCGAACGGCATTCTCCCACCTCACCGATAACCAAATCAAAATCATGGTCCAAGGCATGTTTAATCTCGATCAGGACATACCGGCGTTCAAGGAACACCTGCGGGACTTTTTAGTTCAAATTCGGGTAAGTGCGTTTGGGGACGTAACTTTTATATGGAAGAATTTGTTGTTTGAAAAAAAGGTATAAATTATTGTCCAATTGTTCTTGCATGCTACAAATACATACAATTCTGAATGCTTTACTTTCACTTTTTATTAATCCACTGGATTTTTTCCTCGGAGGATGTTTAAAATCAAAAGTGTATAAATTACAATTAGATACGAAATTAGTTGGGAATGATTTTAGAATAATTAGTATATTATAATTAACAAAGTTAATGATTGAACACTTAATGAAATAATTTCTTTGGTATGCCCTGTTTGATGTGATAATTTAAGAACTTTACTGGTGCCAGCTACTTGCCTGTTTATTTCAAAGTCAAATTTCTGTTGTTTATTCTTCTGCTCATAGGAAGTAAGAATTAGGTATAGGGTATGCCATATGAATTATACGTGAAATATGACGCAGAATTCGAAAACAGATTTATGAAAATGGTATTGTTGTTATAAAAAAAAAAACTTAGTATTAACATGTACTTTTTAATCCACTTTGAATGTTTTCCATTTGCGGCAAAAATTACGCAAGAGAAAATTATGATGAAACTGTGCAATGCAATACATTATTTTCAAACAAATTTGAAATGAATTGAAGTGAAATGTAATATCTTTTTGACTGCCCAGGTTCGCCAATTAATTTTCTGTATTCTCTTCCTTGAGATATATTGTTATTATTTTTATAAAATATACATATAATTTCAAGTTTTTGATTCTAACTATATAATGATTTAAAGTCCGGAGCTACTAGAGCAAGAACTCTGAAAAAATTTTTGAGATCTATTTAACATGCGCAGATTTAAAATCTCGCTTCTAACCAGTGACCTTGCGTCATTCGACAGCCAACATGACCGCTGACAGATAGCCAATAAGTTTGGACGCGGCATTTTTATAGTAGTATTTTCTCAAGATATGCCTAGATATCAAAACATGGAATTCCACATTATTTCCTGTGCCGACCAAAATTCCATTTTCCTGTAACTTATGCACGACTTACTTCAGTTTTAAATACAGAGGGCGCAATTGTGTAACGTTATACTCTAAGAGGTTAAAAGCATTTTGGTTAAGCCGACCACACACGATCCCGCAGGCCTGTTAGTCCGAACTGAACAGTCCGCCTGAAGACCAGTCGCCTGAACGTGTATATTTTCCAGTCGAATTGTCAGTTAAGACTTTTTACCCAAAACAACTACTAAGCTGAGAAGTGCTAACGCGTCGTCGTCAGCCATAATGATGATTGAGACTGATATTTCATATTCGCCTGAACATGTGGAGGGTGGTCAGTCCATCAGGCGATCGGTCTTCAGGCGGAGCATACACTTCAATCTGACAGGCCTGCCGGATCGTGTGTAGCCGAGTTTAGCCCGAGATTATACAGTTATTTTAGAAAAATAGTACCCTAGTTAGCTCACAATTTGGCTATCAAAATTTTTTTAAAATGCATCATCCAAGAAGTTGGTTAATCAGTATGCTCATTATACAAAAATCAACCTCAAAAATTATGTTAAATTATTTGATTTGAAACGTAACGAAATTCATCAACTTAATGTTGTATCAAATTGAAAATAATACAAAAAAGCAACCCTAATAAACCAAATCATAATTTTGTCAGAGATGGAGGAATGTGAGTCTTCTGCACTCTCATTTTTTTCTGATTTGATGTTGCTAAATTGTAAGGACAATTCTTTTCTATTTACCAAAGTAATCATTTTGGTATGGCGAGTCATAAGTAGTTTAGCTTCTGATCAATTTTAGGATCCTTATCATTTTGTGTCCGAGTCATCTGAACCAGAGTCACTAAATTTTATCTCACAGAGCAATTTTTTGTTGTACTTACCGCCTTTGCCTTTATTAATTACAATTAGTAGTTTTGATCTTCACTCTTTGAAAAATAGATCCTGACGTAACTGAAATAATCACAGTGTTTTAATTAATTCCATCATTGCGTTACAGAACATGAATATCTTACTGTACACAATACAAAAACTCGAAAATTACTTAAACCTATGAAATGGATTTATGTTTCGGTATACGTTGTTTGAATTGGGATGCGTGGTGACTCAGGCTTTAGACATTTTGACAGGTTTTGACAAAATTTGGCGCGCTTATTCGCAGCAACTGTGGTCTTCTGTTAGTGTAATAATAAAAAAATTGTGGGCTCATGTGACACCTCCATATAATAATTTTTATTATGAACATCAATTAGATTGCTGATATGTATTGGCGTTGATCTGGCTATTCATTCGATCAGTTTGATCATAGAGTAGGATTGGTTGCCTGATGTTTCACCGGAATTCCATCTTCAGAAGCTGCGCGCCTTCAATTTCGAAAAGTTGAGAAAAAGTTATGCAACTATTGCATAAAACCTATTTTTTTACTTCTTCAAATAAAAAAGTTATGAGGGGTAGTGAATTATGTAGAAACACCCAGTTACTTTCACATTTGCAGTTCCTAGCGAAGTTAGAATTTGCAGAACGAATTCTAATTTAATGGTTAAAAAAAACATTTCTCTCTGCTTTAGGAATATACGGGCGAGGACGATACCGATTTGTTCCTGGAGGAGCGGGAAAAGGCGCTTCAAATGGCGCAGGAAGAAAAGCGGCGCGTGCAACTGTCCGTGCCGGGCATTCTAAATCCCCACGAAGTACCGGAGGAGATGCAAGATTAACCCCGGCTCGTTTGCGAATATTAGAAGAGAAGAAGAACTATAAAGTGAATATTTCATTTGAGATCGATATTTTTCTATTGGTATCATCTTTAAAAAAAAAATAATCGCGAGGAGCGCGCCCGCGGAATTGTGATCGACGAATCGGGGGTGGGGTGAAGACAAACTCGCCAAGGTTCGCGTTTTATCTGAACAGCAACAGCAAAAACAACTTTTTGTGTTATTTAAGGATTTTGTATAGAATACATGTTAAGTTAATTTTGAAATAAAACTGTTTGCCTAATGGATGCTTGTTTACTTTTCTACTTTCGTAACTCTAGCGGCAATGTGGATAATGATGAACAGAATAATTATAATATAACAATAATATGTGATTGAATGTCAATAATTAAGGGGGCGATTTTTGGGTCTTTTGAGATCCAGGGGAATAAACTTTTCAAAAATAAAATATATTTTTTTAATGTCTGTAATACCACTTTAGATATTTTAATGAAATTTGGCACACATATACTATGTATCAAGAGGCATTATTATTTAGTGTATCACAAATTTTTGAAAATACAACAGTGGCAGGTGTATGGAATTTCACCTGTCTATTTTGGCAGACATTGACAGTACGCCATTGATTTCTCTTAAAATAAAAATTATTACAATCTCCAGTCATTTCTGAAGACAATTAATTTCTTGGTTTTTTTCAATGCGATTATTTTAAGTGAAAACCGCGCAGAACACTAGTTGGTAACTAAAAACTAGATATATTGTTTTAGATAAATATTTTATTTTTCATGGAAAAAAAGTGCTCGATTTAACCAGTGCAGCGGCGACCTAATTAACCAAAATATTTAGACTGTCATCGGCACGCCATTGATTTCCTTGCTATCATTTATGAACAGATTTGATCTCTTAATTTTTTTTCAGTCCAAATTGCTCATAAATAAGTGCAATGCCATATTTTTTTAAAGGAAATCAGTGGCGTGCCGATGACAGTCTAAATAATATTTTGGTTAATTAGGTCGCTACTGCACTGGTTCTATCGAGAACTTTTTTTTTGTGAAAGATAAAATATCTATCTAAAACAAAATACCTAGTTTTAAGTTACTAACAAATGTCTTTCCGAAAAAAGAATACTAGGAGACTGTTCTTTTTAGTTTTACATTTTAACGAAATAACATAGCAAGCTAACAACAAGGTAAATATTAAACGATTTTTAAATTTAGTTTATTTATTTAAGTTTACCTACTTCATATTCATACTTCCATTTTTTAAGCATTTTAATAAAACAGATTGACAATTAAGTAAGAAAAAATAATGATAATAATTCCCTGCATGCTGTCATATTAACGATATTTATTTTTATGACCATTCAGGAAAGAGGTTTTTATTTTTTTAAGCGAAAACGGTTTATCAGATTGAAAAAAAAACAAGAGATGAAATAAATATCTTTAAAAATTATTGGAGATTGTAATGTCTGCCAAAATAGGCAGGTGAAATTTCGTACACCCGCCACTGGTCTGTTTTAAAAAAATTATTTCAAGTATTACAAATCTTTAAAAAATATATTTTATGTTTGAAAACTTTGCCACCCTGTATCTCAAAAGTTAACCTTAAACACCTAAAACACCTATACCTCTCACAAAACAAGACTCTACAACAAGTAACTTTATAACCGACGTCTCAAATAACAAAGAAAAACCATCCCAATCTGAAGATTTTTATTATTTAAATGCTAAAATAATAAAGCACTTTGCTGAGTAAGTGATTTTACTTTTGGTCCATAGTTTCCAAAGTCTCTGCAATCGAATAATTTTTCGACGGGTCGCGACGCCCAGCTCTTTGCAGGCGTCGAATTTTTTAAACTTTAGGAAATATCTACTTGACCCCACGCTTTGACTACTTTTTACATAAATTAAATATTTCTTTTCGTTTTGGACTTATTGGCGTGCGGAGTTTTAAGTGAAAAACCCTGTATGTTATATTTTTTAGAAAGAAACAGCCTGTAGATTATAGCACTAATAGATACTCCCTTTTATACTCAATCACCCAATGTATGACTATTATGACCTATACTGGGTGTTTTCGGATTTATGACCATTTTTTCGTCAAAAATGCCCTGTGTTTAACACTCTATATTTTTGAAAAAATCAAATGTGATACTGTATATTATACTTATATGAATTGCTCCTATTAATGTTATTTCAATTAAGTATTCCCTATACCTTAACTTAGTATTTTTTGAGGTATACACATTTTTACGAACAAAATACTGAAAATTTTCAAACCGTGCGAAAATCTACAGAGACGAATTACTTACAATTCTTTCCGATAATAGCATTCGTTATTTATTTATTATTATTATCATTATTATTATTATTATAAATTCGAGATTTACAAAAAAAAAATGTTACATATTTTACGCTACAGATAATATTAATTTAATTATGTTTCACTTTATTTATTGCTCCAAATGTTTCCCACCGCCTTCGATACACGCTTCAACACGGTCTTTAAATTGGCCAGTACAATAATAATAATACTAACCATTTGCCCTAAAAGATGTGATCTTAAAACATTATTTGATAGTTCAATAATATTTTGGGCTTTAAGGAAGACAGAATTTCTAAATTAATGAGGAGAAAGGAAACATTTTGTTCACAAAATTAAAAATTTACTTATTTGTTTTTATTTTTCTTGACTTACTGCGATATTTTCTCATAATTTGACAAATTTTCGAAGTTTTGTTTGTAAAAATGTGTATACCTTAAAAATATTAAGTTTGAGTATAGGAAATGCTTAATAACATTGAAACAGCATTAATAGGACTAATTAATGGACGTATAATTTACATGGTGTTTCCTTTCATTTTTTCATGAGAATTAATATTTTCCATTTTGACTCACCCTGTACAAACGATTCGTATTACCTTCATAAAATTGTTGGCATAATAAAAAAATGACCCTACATTGGGGGATTGCATATAAAAGGAAGTATTCAACTAATGCAATAATATATATAGTATTCCATTTATAGAATATATGTTTGCACATATATATATATATATATATATATATATATATATATATATATATATATATATATATATATATATATATATATATATATATATATATATATATATATATATATATATATATATATATATATATATATATATATATATATATATATATATATATATATATATATATATATATATATATATATATATATATATATATATATATATATATATATATATATGAACATATATATGAACATATTTATGAATCTTTTAGTCTTATCTATAACTTTTGTATTTAACATTTTGTTCTAAAACAAATAATAAATGAGATATATTACTTCCACATTAATATCCTAAAATATAATTCAAACTTGCTTGAAGATAAGGCTTGAGAAATATTGGGTATTCATATACATGGGTATATGGGTATTCATATACATGACGTTTTGAAGTGGACAGTCCACATCGGCATATTATGTAACAAACTCTCCAGCAGCATATTTTTAATCAGAAGGTTGACATCATTTTCTACTTTTTTTCACACATATTACCTATGGATTCAAATTTTGGGGCAATTCCCAAAGTATTATTCTGATTTTTATCTTGCAGAAACGGGTATGCGGGGTTAATAAACACGCACACTGCCGGCCATTATTTGCTTCCACGAAAATTTTGACAATTCACTCGGTCTTTGAAACACAAAATAAAAACGAACTTACTTGTAACTGAGACGTTCATAACTATCCAACTAGAAGATCGCAACTTTTGCGTGCACCTCGGCTTAGACTCTTGGTGCCGGTGAGGAACTCTTTGGATGTGGACCTCTACAACAGGATGAATACCTCTACCAGATCCCTACCATTAAAATAATTTGGAGGAATACATGGCGGCACTTTCCATCTACAATTGTTTAAAATGTTTGTCCGTGTTTGTTATTTATAATTTATTTATGTTTTTCTCTATTTGACATGATATAAAATCAAATCTAATCTATACGGGGTGTCTCAAAAAACGTTCCGCTAATTTCCAGAGTATTTTCACGGGTCTCGACATTGCAGAACATGAAATAAATCATCATCTAAAGATTGTAAGTGATATCTATCTCTCTCACGCAAAAAACTTCAGCTTAACAATAGTAACTATGCTGCTTTAAACAATTTTTGCACAAACCTGTACTTTGTGCAAAAATTCAGGCATGTTTTTTAATAACAAAATGAGATTTAGAGTTTGTCATGAATAATTATGTTTGATAGACGCTGATCGTAAAAAGACGAATTACCATTTGGTAACCACTTACATTGTACACACGCACCACTGTCAGTGTTCGATGACTACTCCAGGACTTTTAAGGTTGCACCTTTAACGCTGAAAATTAGTGGAGTTCTTGGAGTACTATTTAACATACTAAAAATCCCCACCACTGCGAGGATGGCAAAGTTCTCAAAAACCACCCTAAAGATCCATTTATTCACTTTTTGATGAATATCTCCATTATTTTCAATTTTTGCGGAAAAAGACAAGTTACCTAAATTAAAGATTATAAAATTCCGTACATTGCCGTCTTATAGGGAGTTGAAATAAATAAAAAATACAAATTTGATTAAAAAAACCATTATGCAGGCTTATAATCAAATATAAGCAGTGTAAATCAGCATTACGTAATAAAATAAATTCATTTATTATATTCATTATAAGAAGCGGATAAACAAATACGAGGATTCAGGAAAAAAATAATTTAACAAATATTACATTATCAAATGACAAACACATTTAAATCGTTAACTTTGAACTAGAAATAGGAACTGAACTTTTATTGACGAAATATGAATACAGTTTTTCCAACTTGTCACATTAGCCTAAAAAATATATATGCAGGCAAAAAAGGAAAATCTGGATGCAGCAGATTGATATATTAATATATTCATTACCTAAAATTCATCTTTCAAAAAATGTACCTCGATATATTAATATATTCATTACCTAAAATTCATCTTTCAAAAAATGTACCTCTTTGTAGACGTTACTGCATCAATTCCCTTGGCATTGGCCACATAAGCTGGAGCAGTTCATGGTAACGCATTCGGTTTTAGAAACATTTTCTCCCTTTGCTGCAAGTATTTTTTTTTCTAATAATTTATAAGAGGTAAGCTTTCCCATCTCGAACAAAGCGGAAGAAGTGTCACATCCTGAAACAATATATGCTTCTTCCTTGAGCCTAGCTTTTGTTGCGGTTTTACAATTTCAGTAAGCTTGTCAGATTTTGCAG